CCAAGTCTCGTAGCTGTGCAAGGTTCCGTTCACTCAACCTCCAGCCATCGCGGATGTGATACCCTATCAGCACAGTCCGGCTTCCCGTCCATGGGATGGTAGCATGAAGGGTGTGCGCATTGAATAAAACATACGGCGGTTTGACCTCCAGAACAGTTCCTTTATGACCATCATAGAGAACATCCCCCTCTGCGTCTTCCAGCCATAGTCCCCCGCCTGTGGTCCATGTAGAGACGGGTATGACAATGTTTTTCGTGGCTGGATGATTATGGCTGTCTCTATGCGGGCCAACTTGCATGTCCGAACTGAGCACAACTGTGGAAAAGGGCTGTCCCGAGCACCTGGAGTTAATCGCGGCCACGAGGAGCCTGGTGAGCCAAGGGTAGTCCTTGGCATTGTTCATGACTCCTGCCTCGCCGCCAAAAATCCATGCTCCTGCCTGAAAAGCAAAGGCGTTTGCACTCATGTTAATTCGCTCCTTGGTTCGCTTGGTCTGGGGCAGCAGTGGCCGTAACATGTTGAGCATTACCTCAAAGTCAGCATACGTAACAACTTGTCGTTGAAGGCAGCTCTGAGCGTAGCTCTCCAAGGGATTAGCCACACACTGTGATAGCCCCGCCGGTTGCGGTGCGCTAAGTAAAAACGTTTCCTCTTCAGCAGCAGTTGAGTCATCTCCCCTAGGCTCGCAGTATCTGGGCTCGGCTCCATTGACATAGTCTGTCCAATTGGAGATGATCTCAGCATACGACATTGCCTCTGGCGTTGAGGCCCCATACATGCGATCCCCAATGGGATCAGCGTCCGTGTCGGTGGACATGTGGGGTGGGGGTGGGACTAAACCATAGAGGGCAGGACCGGGTTACGCAGGGGAAAACCCGGACTGGACAGCGTATGTGGTACCCTTTGAAACTATAAGACCCTCCGGTGGGCTGCAGTCGCTGCAGTCGTTGCCTGGGGTTACGGCTTAACTACAGCCTGGTGGGGGCCTTGGTTGCATTGGGAAGGTAGGTATCAGCAGGGCCGGGACATGTAACAAAACGTGTTGGTATGTGGCAGCATGAGCTATACAACGGCTGCGCTGTGCATTGGGCAATTGGAGCATTAACGGGCTTGCATCAAAGAACTGGCATCAGAATGCAAGCATAGCGATATACCGTAGTGTTTCACTCCTCGGTGAATGGTGCACGGTTTGCATCGGTCGGCTGACCATGGTCAAATTTGGCTCCCCGTGGCGAACCACAGCATCACCATCATCATCATCATCATCATCAACCCTAAACCCTAAACCCTAAACCCTAAACCCTAAACCCTAAACCCCAAACCCTAAACTCATCATCACCACTGCAGGATTCCCATGGCATGGATCTCTATGGACCTGCATCGGGGGTGACTCGGCTGGTGCGGGGCTCGAACCTTTAGAGGCCTACTATAATGGGGATAGGTTTAGGGTGTAGGGTTTAGGGTTTAGGGTTTAGGGCCGGGTTTAGGGTTTAGGGTTTAGGGTTTAGGGATTAGGAGGAGATTTCGCAAGGCTATTAAAGGCTCTGTATTGGGCTTTTGATGCTCGCGGCTTCTCGTGCTTTGGGTCTGTTAGGATTAAGGCTCGGTTGTTGGTTCAGGGCGTGCGGGTTTCGGATGTGGGTTTCGGGATCCTTGAAACCTCAACCTCGATCCTAAGCAAAAGCCCGGCACCTTGTTGAAACCTGAGTTAACCTGAGGCCCTAGGCCCTAAACCCTAAAACCTAAACCCTAAAACCTAAACCCTAAACCCTAAACCCAAAGCCCCAAACGACATCACACCCCAGGCCTTTTGCCCCGAAATCTGAACTCCCAACGCCAAGCCCCAAACCCTCGCGCCCCGAAGCCTAGAATGCCACAGCTTCCCTAGACCAATCTCGAAAAAACCTCGTTCTTAAACTGGTTTAGGGTGTAGGGTCTTAAACACCAAACCCTAACCCCGAACCCTAACCACCATGGCAATGGGAATTATGGTATATTCCTTATTACGGGTAATGCAGGATTATATATCATCAGCCGTAGTTGCTATATTCTTGGAGTCCAGAACCCCAAACCCACAAACCCTAAACCCCTAAACCCTGAACCCCTAAACCCTAAACCCCTAAACCCTAAACCCTAAACCCACCCTAAGGCTTAAAGGTTTGAGAGCGGAGGACTTTCGAGCTTTAGGATGGTCCCTGGGGTCTAGGGCGACTAAACAAAGCTATTCAGGATTTAAGGCTCTGGGGTTGCGGGTTCAATTAGGGTTTAGGGTTTAAGGCTCTGGGGTTTGGGGTTTAATTAGTGTTTCGGGTTTAGGGTCTCAGGCTCCGGGGTTTCGGGTTTAATTAGGGTTTCGGGTTTCGGGTTTAAGGCTCTGGGTTTAGGGTTTAATTAGGGTTTCTGATTTAGGGTTTAGGGTTTAGGGTTTTAGGGTTTAGGGTGTAAGGGTCTGGGGGTTGTAGGATTTCTGCTGATGTTTCCTTTTCGGATGCTCCCCTAGGCTGTGAATCATCACCGATCAGTGGGCCATCTCAAACCTCTATCTTGGACACGAAACCGGAAAGCCTAAACCCGAGTTCCTACCGAGCTATAAGAGCACTGGAGCCAAGGGCACACCTGTGCTTCGCCGGGCTCATGCCGCTCGAGCTGCGATTACTGTGAAGCCAGACCCGACACGCGAATAGTTCGTACCGATAGCTTGTGCTTCGACTTGTACCTCTTCGGACATACCTCCTTCTATGGATGGTATCTATCGGACCGCCGCTGATCACTCCTGATGCCACGGCAGGATGGCACCATTCACATCCTGCTTGGAATATGTCTGTGATGCAAGTGACAGGGGTTGTAATGTGAATACAGCGACATCGGGCCATTCTTGGAGGTGCTACTAGGATGGCGCTCCTGGAAGCCTTCACACAATGCTTTCCTACGATCCTTTGATCTAAGGATGGGCTCGTGGCTGGTGGCATTCGCTTTACGGTGCAAGTCCGGGTCACCTCCTTGCCCCTCGGTTTCACTTGCAAAGCTGCTGGAGCATCCGAGGATGAATGAGGTGTTGATAAACTCATCCTGGTTCGTCGATTAAGTTTACTCGAGGGGTCAAGCTCTGGATGTGATGATTCAGGCCACATATACCTTAAGGCACCTAATGGTATAGACTTAGGCCTTAAATGGGTTCGTATATAGGTACTTTAAGACCTAGGTATACTATGTAGGTACATGGAGCCTTTGAGATTGGGGGGAGTTTCCCTTGACGGCTCTGAGCAGCGCCGCAGCCACGTTCTCGTTGCGGTTGACATTGCGAGGGCATTGGGGTTTAGGGTTCAGGGTTTAGGGTCTAGGCTGGGCATTCTAGGGCGGCTGTTAGCAAGTTATTTTTTGTTTACGGTCGCAGTCAGAAGTCGAACCGCACCCTATGAATAGAGAAAGGCAGGAAATACTTGTGAATCGCATCCCGAGAAACTAGCAGTCTCACTCGCTTGCGCGCCTTTTGTTCGCCCTCTGAGATCAGCACCTGGCAACATTCACATCCGTTGCGGCACTGGCAGCTTGACTTTGATTTTGGAGGCTCAGGTCTAGGGGGGCAGCCGTGGCTAAACGTCAAACTCCGAACCTCAAGCCTTAATTTCAGACCTCAAGCCGCATGTCTTGAGGGGTGTGATTTGACCCATGAACTTCATAGTGTATGCTTATATGCCCAAGCCCCTATTCTCATGATTTCGAGACTGGCAGACAAACTCTATTTTGCAGTCCAGCTTCCCTACATCAAGCTGCGCCGGCATATATGGACGATCTCATCTATCAGCGGCACCAGGGAAGACGTGCGGGTATTTGGGTTTTGCCACTTTGAAGAGTAGTTGCTGACTGGTGGGAGACGGTCGTGGTACCTGTGGCAGTGATCATCTTCCAGTGCTGCCACTCTAGTTCTCCATATCGTCGAAAACCGGTCGAAGCCTCAACACCTAAATACCTAAACCCTAAGCCCTAAACCCTAAACCCTAAACCGTCAACCCTACGGTAAGCCCAAAGCCCACAAGTCTAAACCCTTTGCTTTCCATAAAACCAAAGGCTGAACGCTCAATCCTCAACCACAAACCGGAAACCCTGAACCCCTGCCCCAAAGCCCCTAGAGCTTAGACCCGAATTCTGAAACCGTCCCTACCCTTAGCTCCAAGAGCCCCAAACCCTAAACCCTAAATCCTAAACCCTAAACCCTAAACCCTATGAGGTCTTGCTTCTGATTTGGTTCGGCGGCATTGCCTTCCACAAGAGCATGTCCTGGGCTGCTTTTGTGGCTGAAGAATTAGGGTTTAGGGTTTAGGGTTTAGGGCTTCGGGTTTAGGGTTTAGGGGTAAGTTTAGGGTTCAGGGTTGAGGGTTTAGGGTTTAAGGTTTAGGGTGTTGAATGTTCTTGGGGTTTAGGATTCAGGATTTAGGGTTTAGGGTGTAGGGCTTCAGGGTTCCAGGCTTAGGAGTTAGGATTCCGGGGTAGAGGTTGGTTCAGGTTTAGGGGTTCGAAGTGTGCGGCTCAGGGGTTAAGCCTTCAAGTATTCATTTCAACGCAGATAGTACTGTTGATGATAAAAAACCCTGCATTGCCTCAAGGACCCTAATCTATGGGAATTATATATGGCATATTCATTATTATGGGTAAAGGGCCCGAGTCACCCAACAGCGGGTATCTCGAAGGCCCCAGTACCGCAAGCCATGGCCGTTTAGCGGAATGCGGTACGTCCAACTACCCAGCAGCCTGCAGAGTATGACGTTTGGCGATAAGTTCAACCCGAGCCTGGAGAAAATCCAACTGCCCAGCATCCTGCAGAGTGTGAGGTTTGGCTATTCGTTCAACCGGAGCCAGGAAGGCATCCAGCTACCCAGTAGCCTGCCGAGTGGCTTTGCTTTCAAGCTGAACCTGAAAGGCATCAAACTACCTAGCGGCCTTCAAAGTCTGCCGTGTGGTCGCCACTTCAACCAGCGCTTGGGGAGCATCCAGCTACCCAGCAGCCTGCAGAACCTGACGTTTGGCCGATCAGTCTATCTGAGCTTGGCGAGGACCCAACTGCCCGGCAGCTTGCAGATTTTGGCGTTTGGTCGCCATTTCAACCAGAGCCTGGAGGGAATTCAACTACCCAGTAGCCTGCAGAGCTTGACGTTTGGCAACCTTTTGAGCACAGGGTTGGAGGGCATGCAATCAACGCAATCAGCCAACAGCCTGCTAAGTCTGATGTTTGGCGAATCGTTGGATCTAAGCTCGGAGGGGCATCCAACCACCCGGCCGCCTGGCTATGTGTGTTTGACGCTTGGATATGAGTTCAGCCACAGCTTGAAGGGCAGGGAACTACGCAGCAGCCTGCGGAGTTTGACGCTTGGACACGAGTTCAACCATAGCCTGGAGCTGCAGTTTTTGACGTTTGGCCATGCGGTCAACCACAGCCTGGGGGCATCCAACTACCCAGAAGCCTACGGAGTAGGACGTTTGGACACCATTTCAGCCGAAGCATGGGGGGCGTCCAAGTACCCAGCTGCTTGCAGAGATTCATGTTTGGCGAATCGTCCAACATCGTTCAGCCTGAGCTTGGAGGCGTGCATACCTCTTTTAATATTCTTGTCGGATAGTTGTTTCCTTTTCGTGTGTGCCCTATCCTTGTATACGCCGTCACTGCATGGATCGTGTGGCACATGTTTGAGGGTCCCGGCAGCTACGGTTTACTCTCCTGGGACCCGCTTTGGAGGAGCCTTGCTGCCTTAGGTATGCTGCCTTGCCGGCCCAGACAACTTTGAGTTGCGAGCGCTGCAATCGTTTAGCGTCTCCTGTGTCGCAGGCAAGCTTGTATGCGTAAAGTGTGTATCCAGAATACCTTTGAAGGAAGGATTGCTGGATGGATAGGATACCTTCCGCTGTGGTTGTGATAACGTCCCCGTGCATGGGCTTGAAAAGCTCAGATTTTGCACCCTCGAGTGCACACTACCAGCTTGTAGATTTCTGCTCCGGGGGTGGAAGTTTTATTTCATCAGGGTGCAGGCGCTGAGTTCTCAGTTTTTCCTGCATTCTGTTTTCGCTGGATGGCCTTATAGGAACACCAGCATAGCCGTTTGCGTGTGAATTCAAGAATTCATGTGCTAGGCGAGCGTCTGTACAAGACTCTACCGCGGAGAATGAAAAAATTATGGGTAATGCAGGATTTATATCATCAACCGTACCACTCTAGTGCTCCAACTCTATTCCAGGCTGTCTTTCTCATGGTTATATTGATTGTGAGTGTGAGAAGTGCTTCTTCAGAATTTTTCATTGTTTGGTACGTTATCCTTGCCCGTTGCACGCGCTAACACGCTCTAACCTAAACCCTAAACCCTAAACCCTAAACCAAAACCCTAAACCGTCCCACTTGACTTTGTGAAGAGGCGAGCTCAAGGTTTGCATTGCGAGAATCGCACTGGTCGCTGTCATGGAGTAGATAATTAGCGCCCTACGTGAATAAGGATTGTTATTGATTCCTAAACCCGAAACCCTAAACCCTAAACCCTAAACCCTAAACCCTTAACCCTAATGTTCACTGTTGGTCTGTCCTGGGGAGGTTCCGGTTGTGGGGCTAAGTCTCCAGACCATTTTCCCCGTTGCATGGATGCCTGGTGACCAACCTCCCTTCAACGTCATTCCTCAGACGCAAAGACTCCTCGGCTTTTCGCACAGCTGTGTTCTTGCTTTCGGCCAAGACCTAAGGCCTCAGCTGAACCAAAACTTGAACCCAAGCGATGCCTCACCAGCCCATCTACACGAATCTACACCCCTTCCAGAAAACCCTGATCCCTGAACCCAAACCCTAAACCCTAAACCCTAAACCCCAAGCAAGACAAAGAACCAAGGAGTGGCTCGCATTCATGAGCTTCCTTCTGCACACCTTCAGCTTTCCGGTTCCCGCCATGCGGGGCTCCATGTTCCGACGGAACTCCGAGCCTGAGCTGATGAAACGGAAACGCAAGACTCAAGCACTATGAAACCGCAAAAGCAGTAGTTCGTTAGTTGTGTGTGTGTGGGCAGCAGCAGCGGAAGGAGCAAAATAATGATCATCATCATCATCATCACCACCATCATCATCATCATCATCATCATCATCTGCAGCAGCACCAGCAGCAGCTGCAGCCAGAACTAGACGTAGTGGCAGAATCATAATTAGAACATACACAGCATGTCACATTGACGACGATGGTAACCGCATCAGCACGACACACCCCAGAACTCTGGGCCTAGACAGCCTGGATTAGCAGTGCAACCATGTGCCTCCTTCTTTGACCGGCACCATCATCAATGGCACCGTCATCACCCCTAGCAAGAGATCATCATCATGATCATCATCATCATCATCACCATCTCCATCATCATGACCATCATCATCTCACAGAGATTTAAGGCGGTCCCCTCAAAAAGGACCCCCCCAAAGCGCAGACATCAACCTAAGCATTTGAGCGGGGACGTTTCGTCGCGCGTTTGTACAATCACGCCGGAATCAATCACTAGCCTTTTGTAAGCTTGAGTGACGGAGGCTTGCTGAATTTCTGAAACGTGCTCGTTCGCAGGGGCCCTAGCGCCTAGAAGTCTTAGACGACCGTAGACCCGAAACCTCCGGCCCTCAACCCTGAACCCTACACTGCTGGTTGCTAGATCCTGAACCCCCTACTCTCTGAAGACCGTTTTTTTCCAGAGCACTCGAGCAGAAAACATGGCCCTCAAATGCCCTCCTTCGCCCTGGAATCCCCTACACGGGCCTGTTGAGGGGTCTAGGGCACGCTTCTGTCCAGATTTGGAGGGCATTTGAGCGCTCAAATGCTCTCAAATGCTCTCGAATGCCCTCGATTGCCCTTACAAAGGCTTGTAAGTCACCGAAACAGAGAGAGAGGTAGGGAGGAAGGGAGGGAGGCAGGGACGGTGGGGTGGGTAGAGAGTGGGGGGCTGGTGTGGGGTGGGCGGGGTGGGGTGATGTCTGGTGTCCTTTCTTTTGGGTTGGGACAAACGCGTTGACACATTGAGCCCACGGCCCATAGGGAAAAAGGGAGGGAGAGAGGGAGAGCGAGAAAGAGGGACAGAGGGACGAGGGAGGGAGGGAAGGAGGCAGGGAGGGAGGGAGGGAGGCACGGAGAGAGAGAGAGAGAGAGAGAAGGAGTTGTATTGTTCTAGTTCTATGCTCACAGATGGCAGGAATCCAGCACAGCATAAGCATTCGAGGTATTTTAAGGAGAAAACCCAGACTTAAAAGGACCTTTTGAGAAGCGAAACGGCCACGCGCAGTTGAAAACTAATAGCTTTCAAAAGCCCGGTTTTGAAAGCTAATAGTGGCTTTTGGTTTACCGACTGGCCGGCTACTCCTTTTGAGGAACCTGGCTTTGGGGGGGTCCTTTTGGAGGGGACCCTCTTAAATTTCTGTGATCATCATCATCATCACCCACCATCATCATCTACTGGTTGGAGCTTTGCTGTTCTGTCGGGCTCATTGCTCTAGGCACCGGCATCTTAGAAGGCCGCTAGACTTCACCGGTCAGCCCTACTTGGAGGATCATGGGACTTAGTAAGTATGGTTAGAAGTGCTTTAATTGGGGTTATAAGTAACTATAAGTATAGTTACCCTAATAATAACCTTAGTTACTGGATCTCATGATCCTGTAAGTAGAGTCATGGTGCCCGAAGTGGAGCATGAGCATGTCGGTCCGATTGAATTAAAGCGGCGCCCTGGCTTCAGGGTATCGGGGTTTGTGTTTCGGGCTTTGAGGCCGTGGGGAACCCTAAAAACCCTAAGAGCCCAACCATCCCAGGGATCCTGAAACAAAACCCTAAACCCAGAAGCCCAAAACAAAGCCCTAAACCCTAAAACACAAAGCCAGAAGCCCAAAGCAAAATCCGAAACCCTAAAACACAAATCCAAAATCCCGAAACAAAACCCTCAACCCTAAAACACAAATCGAGAAACCCTACACCAACACCTTAAAACACAGCGGGCCAGGAGCGAGAGGATGTTGAGCTGCAGGCAGATCCACCGGCAGGCTCCTTCCCGCCCGAGCGTTTAGGGTTTAGGGTTTAG